AGTAGTCTCTTATAATCCTTTGTATTTCTCTGGTGTCAGTTGTGATTTCTACTTTTTAAAATTATTATTAGTTTATTTATTTTTGGCTGTGTTGGGTCTTCTTTGCTGTGCGTAGGCTTTCTCTAGTTGCGGAGAGCAGGGGCTACTCTTTGTTGTGGTGCGTGGGCTCCTCATTGTGGTGACTTCTCTTTTTGTGGAGCATGGGCTCTAGGCTTGTGGGCATCAGTAGTTGTGGCATGCGGCCTCAGTAGTTGTGGCTTGTGGGCTCAGTAGTTGTGGCTCGCAGGCTCTAGAGCACAGGCTCAGTAGTTGTAGCGCGTGGGCTTAGTTGGTCCGCAGCACGTGGGATCTTCCCAGACCAGGGCTCGAGCCCGTGTCCTCTGCATTGGCAGGCGGATTCTTAAGCACTGCGCCACCAGGGAAGTCCCGATTTCTCCTTCTTCATTTCTAATTTTATTGATTTGTGTCCTCTCCCTTTTTTTCTTGATGAGTCTCGCTAAGGGTTTATCAATTTTGTTTATCTTCTCAAAGAAACAGCTTGTAGTTTTATTGATCTTTGCTATTGTTTTCTTCATTTCTATTTCATTTATTTCTTCTCTGATCTTTTTGATCTCTTTCCTTCTCCTGACTTCGGGTTTTCTTTGTTCTTCTTTCTGTAATTGTTTCAAGTGTAGGGTTATATGGTTTATTTTTCCTGTTTCTTGAAGTGAGATTGTATTGCTATAAACTTCCCTCTTAAAACTGCTTTTGCTGCATCCCATAGGTTTTGGGTTGTCGTGTTTTCATTGTCATTTGTTTCTATGCAGTTTTTGATTTCATCTTTGATTTCTTCAGTGATCTCTTGGTTATTTAGTAGCACACTGTTTAGCCTCCATGTATTTGTGTTTTTTACAGTTTTTTTCCTGTAATTGATTTCCTGTCTCATAGCATTGTGGTCAGAAAAGATGCTTGATACGATTTCAATTTTCTTAAATTTTCTGAGGCTTGATTTGTGACCCAAGATGTGATCTATCCTGGAGAATGTTCCATGTGCACTTCAGAAGAAAGTGTATTCTGCCACTTTTGGGTAGAATGTTATATAAATATCAATTAAATCTATCTGGTCTGTTGTGTCATTTAAAGCTTGTGTTTCCTTATTTATTTTCTGTTTGGATGATCTGTCCATTGGTGTAAGTGAGGTGTTAAAGTCCCTTCTATTATTGTGTTACTGTTGATTTCTCCTTTCATGGTTGTAGCATTTGCCTTATGTATTGAGGTGCTTCTATGTTGGGTGCATAAACATTTTTAATTGTTACATCTTCTTCTTAGATTGATCCTTTGATCATTATGTTGTATCCCTCCTTATCTCTTGTAACAGTCTTTACTTTAAAATAAAAAGTCTATTTTATCTGATATGAGTATTGCTGCTCCAGCTTTCTTTTGATTTCCATTTGCATGGAATATCTTTTTCCATCCCTTCACTTTCAGTCTGTATGTGTCCCTGGGTCTGAAGTGGGTCTCTTGTAGACAGCATATATATGGGTCTTGTTTTTGTATCTGTTCAGCCAGTCTATGTCTTTTGGTTGGGACATCTAATCCATTTACATTCAAGGTTATTATCTATATGTATGTTCTTATTACCATTTTCTTAATTGTTCTGGGTTTGTTTTTGTGGGTCTTTTTCTCCTCTGTGTTTCCTGCCTTGAGAAGTTTCTTTAGCATTTGTTGTAAAGCTGGTTTGGTGGTGCTGAATTCTCTTAGCTTTTGCTTGTCTGAAAAGCTTTTGACTTCTCCATCAAATATGAATGAGATCCTTGCTGAGTAGAGTAATCTTGGTTGTAGGTTTTCTCTTTTATCACTTTAAGTATATCCTGCCACTCCCTTCTGGCCTGCAGAGTTTCTGCTGAAAAATCAGCTGATAACCTTATGGGGATTCCTTTGTATGTTATTTTTTGTTTTTCCCTTGCTGCTTTTAATATTTTTTCTTTGAATTTAATTTTTGTTAGTTTGATTATATGTCTTGGTGTATTTTTCCTAGGGTTTATCCTGTATGGGACTCTCTGAGCTTCCTGAACTTGGGTGACTATTTCCTTCCCCATGTTAGGGACGTTTTTGACTATAATCTCTTCAAATATTTTCTCAGACACTTTCTTTTTCTCTTCTTCTTCTGGGACCCCTATAATTCGAATGTTGGTGCATTTAGTGTTGTCCCAGAGGTCTCTGAGATTGTCTTCAATTCTTTTTATTCTTTTTCCTTTATTCTGCTCCTGAGCGGTTATTTCCACCATTTTGTCTTCCAACTCACTTATTCCTTCTTCTGCCTCAGTTATTCTGTTACTGATTCCTTCTAGTGTATTTTTCATTTTAGTTATTGTGCTGTTCATCTCTGTTTGTTCTTTAGTTCTTCTAGATCTTTGTTAAACATTTCTTGAATTTTCTCAATCCGTGTCTCCATTCTATTTCCAAGACTCTGGATCATCTTTACTATCATTACTCTGAATTCTTTTTTCAGGTAGACTGCCTATTTCCTCTTCATTTATTTGGTCTTGTAGGTTTTTACCTTGTTCCTTCATCTGTGACATATTTTTATGCTGTCTCATTTTTTTTTTTTTTTTTTATGAGTGGGATTGTGTTCCTGTCTTACTGGTTGTTTGGTCCGAGGCTTCCAACACTGGAGTTTGTAGGCTGTTGAGTAGAGCTGGGTCTTGGTGCTGAGATGAGGAACTCCGTGAGACCTCAGTCTGATGAATATTCCCTGGGGTCTGAGGTTCTCTGTTAATCCAGTGGTTTGGACTCGGAGCTCCCGCTGCAGGAGCTTCGGCCTGACACGTGGCTCGTGAACCAAGATCCTGCAAGCAGCATGGGGCAGCAGGAAAAAAAAAAAGCTAACAATAACATAGGAAACTAACAGACACGTTAGAAAGAATATAAAAATAAAAATATAGATGAATCAGCAACTAGAAGGTACAACAGTACCACAATAGTAAAAGAAAAGGAGGAGGGAAAAAAAGGGACGGGGGAAGGACTTGGCTGTGGAGGGCAGGGCCTAAGCAAGGGTGAGGTTTGGGTGGTGGGTGGGGCCTATGCTTAGGACCCACAGGGCTGGAAAAGGCTGTGGGAGTGGGGCTTAGGCTTAATAGAACAGAAGGGGCCCAGGCGTGCCCCCCACCCCTGGTGTCAGAGAATGGGGGACCTCACCTGGGAGCCCAGCAGGCTTCCTGGGCTCAAGTGGGCACGGCAAACGCCCTCCTCTCCTCTCCTGCTCTTCCAGTCTAGGAGGGCCCCTCCCGCCTGCCTCTCTTTTTCTCCCCTAGGCTTCTTTCCTATGCCCCCAAGGACCCACATGACCTGGAGCGGGCTTTGGAGGGCAGGGGATTGGCCTGGGAGCTCAGCAGGACCCCTTCCGCCTTCCTCTCCTGGTCTCTCCGGCCTCCCTCCTATGACCCCAAGGACCCACGTGGCATGGAGGGGTCAAGCACAGACTCTTAAAAAAAGGATAGTGTATACATTTCAAGATTTTTAAATACCACATTATGCAGATCTGATATCATATTAGAAAAACATCATTTTTTTTATTGTAACAGGAACACTCCAGGTGTTTGCTGTTCATGAGCTGCTTCAAGAGAACATTTTTTTTCCTACTTGCTCTCCTTAGGAAAGTGAGAATTCTATTTGTGTACCTACTGTCTGTCTGTCTGTCTATTTAGTTAATGAGTGAGTGAGTAGATGAGTGAAGGACCAAAGATAGGATATAGATGATTTCTTCTAAGTCTCCCTAGAACCTGCTATCAGAGACTTTAGTAAGCTCTATTTTATTATTGCTTTATCTTTTGGTTTTTTCACTACCCCGATACCTTGTGGGCAAAATTATTCTAAGCAGGGTATCTGGTAAATAGTACTCAATAATTTTCACTGATTAAATAAATGAATGGCATATTGGTAGAAACTGCTAAAATTTTACAGTGTCTTATACATAGTGGACATTTGGGAAATATTTTTAGAATTGAATAACATGAAAAATTTGAGGCTTGAGTTCTAGTCCAAGTGCCATTACTGCTCAGTTGTGTCACTTTCATCTCAGAGCCTTAGTTTTCCAAAATGAATGTTGGACAGATGTTTTCTGAAGTTGCTTCTGCCTGTTTTTAGATTTTCTATCTCGATGATTTTAAATACCAAATGAGTAAATATTAATTTAGAGAAGGGAAAAAATTGTAATGGGGTCGTAAGGTTTGGAAAAGCTTAGTGTGGACAAGATTAGTCCTGAATGGTGTTTAAAGTGATGGGACAGAGAGGGTGTTGGTTTAGAATTCAGGAGAAAAGGGGAGAAAATACTGAAAGGGTAAAATTTCGTAAGTGAGGTTACCACGGTGGGAGTGTACAAAGTATATTTGGGATATAATGAGTAGATTAATCTTAATAGAATGGTGATGCTGTGTGAGAGAGCCATGGGAAGTTAGCTTGGAAATACAGGATGCAGACAGCCTAGAGAGCCTTAAATATTTGTTTGATTTTTATTCTTTAAGGGTGTTGATGAAAATAATCAATAAACAGTCTATAATAGGAATAGGAAAGAGGTTTATTTGAGAGCCAAACTGAGGACTATAGTCCAGAAGACAGTCTCTCAGATAACTCTGAGGAACTGCTCAAAGCACAGTTTTGTGTCTTGTCAGAACAAAGAATGTTAAACAAGTCGGGGATACATTCCTTCAACGTTTGAAAAAAACCATACATAACGAGTCAGTATGGCCTTGGCACCTGAGAAGGGAGTCTTATCGAAGGAGTACCAGCATTGGCGTCCCAGGAAGGGAGGCATTTAATCTTTATTTTTAATATGGCTGTTCTTTACACTTCTGGTCACCGTGCCCTTTTCCTTTAATAATTAAAGCAGATGTACAGTGCAGGTTTGGTAAGCCACAAACAGTCTATTTTAGTTAGCAATAACATTTGAATTAACTCATGTATAAGCCAGAATGACTTCCCCATACCTCAATATGTGAATTTTTTTTTTTTTTTTTACCCAGGGGTAAGGAGCTGTTGAAGTTTTATTTGCTTGCTTTTTAAGGAAGATAGCCAGCTGCACAAAGGGAAGCAAAGAAACCAGTTGCGAAGTCATTACAGGAATCTAGACAGGAGGTGACGGTGTCATGCGTGTGGTGGCGGCAGTGAAGATAGAGTGATGGGAAGGGATATGGAGCTAATGTCGTGTGGCCCTTGCTGTGGTGTCAGGCATTTTGCTAATACTTTTTATGTTACATCACTTTATCCTTATAACCACTCTGCGGGGTGAGCATACTACTTACCTACTGCTGCATGACACATTATTCCAAACATAGGGGCTTAAAACAGCATTTATTAAACATTTATTACATGGATGTTTACATTTATTACATATATTAAACATTTATTATTTCACATTTTTAATGTGCCAGAAATCTGGATGTGGCGTAGCTAGGACCTCTGGCTTAGAGTCGCTCACAAGGCCGCAGGCGTCTCAAGGCTTGACTGGGAAGGATGAGCCTCCTTGCTCACTCGTGTGGTTGATAGCAGGATTCAGTTCCTCACTGGTTGTTGGACTTAGGCCTTCATTCCTGCCTTCCTTTCTTGCCATGTAGGCCTTGTCATAGAGCAGCTTGCTTCATCAGAGTGAGCAAGGGAGAGGGCCAGTGAGAGTGAGAGGAGGGGGAGGAGGGAGGGAGAAAAGTGGGGTGTGTGTGAGCGAGAACGTGAGCGTTAGCAGGATGGAAGCCACGGTCTGGTAACCTATTCACTTTTCTGTTTGTTGTTCCTTAGAAGCAAGTCACCAGATCCGTCCCACACTCAAGGGGAGGGGATTAAACATATTCTAGTGTGTGAAGTGATATGGAGAATAGCAGGAGATGAGGCTGGAGAGGTAGGCAGGGAGTGTGTAGCATGCCCTTTTTGACCCCAGGGGAGTAAAGCACATTTCATTTTGCAAGAGTGAAAAAGATCTATGATAAGTGTCCATTTTGTTTTTTAAACTGCAGACTTTTACATTCCTCCTGGAAATGGAATTATCTTAAAGACGGGAAACAGATTGTGCTCATTTTGCTTCTGTTATGTCTGGGATATTTCTAGCCTCCCTTGCACAAAGAAAAATCATTGTTAGTTTCACGCAATTTAACTTTATAACAAGATTCTGTTGCAAGACAGACATTTTGGAAAATGCCCCAGATAAACACTATCTCTGCATAGCTACTGAGAGAACTGCTATCACCATAAAAGAAAAGTAGGGGAAAGTGATTCTTGCACTGGAAGATTTTCAAAGCAGCAGTTATGCTTTCATCAGTTAGTTTGCTTCCTTCAAAATCCACCCACCCACTCCTACCAGTATTCTGTCACCATCTAGACAGAAGTATTAATCATTAAAAAAGAGAATTAGAATTCCTTTCCCTTTTCTTTCCTGGTTGTTGGCTAAAGAAGTGACATCTCAGGCATGTATTCTTAAAGATGCCCAAGAAACAAGTCATCGGTACTTAAGCCCAAGTTCACCCTCATACAACTAGTTTACTAGTCAATGAAAATTCCCAATTTAGTATGATAAGAAGTATGAACTAAGTTTAAAAACCCTTTTTCACTTTTCACAAATATCTTAATAAATGTGAGTGCTATGGCTGGGGACAACCTGAAGAAAAAGAACTAGTGTTGGCCTTTACCTTTTAAAGTTTTTATTTGCACAGATAGAACTGCATATGGGTGGTTGGGTGTCTTGTGGACATCTCAAACTTAACACTTCCAAAACTGAATTTCTGATTTCTCCTTCAGAATCTTCTTTTACTAGTTCCCTAAAAATACTCATGGGAATGAGTATGGACCACCATCCATTCATTTTTTTCAAGCCAGAAATCTGGGAGTTGTCCTTGATTCCCACTCCCCCTTTTCACCTCTTACCTCCAATCTATCAGAAAGTTCTACCTCTAAACAAACAATGATTTTTGCCTCTCTCTCTCCATTTCCAATGTCACCACCGCAGTCCAGATTGCCACCATTTGTTTGCCTGGATTACTGACATGGCCTCTTAACTGGTGTCCTGCTCCACTTTGGTTCTCTTCCACACTGTCATCCCCCTCCTCCCCGATCCTTGAAAGCCTCCTCTTGTTTTTAAAATACAATCCAAACTCCTGACATTGGCCTGCCAAGCCCCTTATGATCCAGTCACTGCCTACTTCCCCAGCCTTAAAATGATCACTGTGTTTTGGTCACATTGGCCTTTGCTCATCCTATTGAACACTCACTTCATTCGTGCCTCAGCATCTTTTTTTTTTTTGTAAGCGAGAGAAAAACGTATTAATTGCAGCAAGTAGGGAGAACACCGGGGATCTTTCCCAAAGCAGTGTCTCTCAGAATCTTTGTGTTTACTTCCCTTTTGCCTAGAATGCTGCCCCAACCCTTGCCCCTGGCCCATTCCTCATTCCTTTCATAAAACCTAATCGTTCTTCAGATCCCACCCTAAATATCACCCTCTTGAAGGCTTCCTTGATCACCCTGTATAGGTAGAAATCCTCTGTTATTTTCTATTATAATACCTATACAGTGCCCTTTCTTGCAGTTTTAAAATTACATATATGTTTCCTTTTGTCTTATTTATTTGCTTGTTAGTTTATTGTCTGTACTCACCTCGAGGATGTCAACTTCATGAGGGCCAGAGCCCTGTCTTATTCATTGTTTCCCCAGGACCTAGCCTAGTGCCTCCTACAGAGCAGGTGCTGAATAATTATTGCATGTATGAAAGTGCCCGAAAGTAAAGAACTGGTTGAAACTGGTTTGGTAAAAATTTTGAGATTTAACACCAAAACGTCTTTTTTTAATTGAAGTGTAGTTGATTTACAATGTTTAACACCAGACTTTAAAGTATACTTCAGATAGGTGTTATTTTTTACATGCTTCAGCTTAGAGAACAACCACTGCAATATGAAATAAAATCCCGTCTTCCTCCAAACTTGTTTGTCTGGCTAACTTTATCTTCGTGGGGATTTTCCATTTCCATTTGTGGGTAAAATTTGTCTTAGTCCTCAACTACTAATTTAAGCACAGATAAGCTAGAATTCTGAATCAGGGGTCTTTTAGTAAATTGCTGTCCTTATGACCACACCATCATTTGTTAGCAGCGCTCACTCAGGGGCTCCCTTTATGGCAGGACAGACAGTGAAGATTGGTGGGTAGTCCCTGTCCCAGCTTGTGGAGAGTAGATTTACCTCAGGCAGAGAGGCCTCAGCTGGTCTTGCAAAGGATGCCTTTTATCATTCCATCTGTTTAGCCCCTAGGAGCAGGGTTCCTTGTAGAGTGTAGATCTAACAGATCGGTGGCAACACTGAGGCAATATGTGTTTTTCAGCAAACTAGGGCTCAATTTGTTGCCATAATAACTTTCAGTAATTCCCAAAGAACTAGGGGGAACGTCAAGGTTCCTTTCTTGAAGGAGAAAACTGTTTAGAAAAGAAAAAATGCAGCCTAACCAGGTGTGGGGTGTGACGTCTTCCACCTTCATTTGAAGTTGTGTTGATGTCTGTGTAGTTAACTAACAGGTTTTTGGCGTTTATTGGCTTATTGTAAATTAGCATTATGTCAGTCACAATGTGTCCAGTATCTCAGTCATCAGGCCCTTTAAGGTAGGAGTCAGCTCCAGTTTACTAAAAGGAATCTGGGGTTTCAGTAGACTGAGAGCTGGGATTTGAACCTAGGTTTGTGTGGCTTAAAAAAAAAAAAAAAAAGAAAAAAGAAAAAAAACCCGACTCAACAATTATAATAACTATTTCAAAAAATATCCCAAGCTCTTTAAATATGCTTTGTCTACACATTTTATTTTCGTCAAAGTCTTTTTGAGTTTGTTGGACTCAAGCATCTGAGTCTGAAGTTACTTTTACATATAGGTTATATATGTATGCATCGATAAATATGCAGGTATTTTTGCATATGTTACATTATTTCCCGGTTATATTAGGTATATACATTTAACTTTATCTATATATGGATATAACTTACATAAAAGCAGGGTGGGATGGTACATATGTCCTGGTTTCACTGCTGTGCCACACTCAGGAAATATAGTCCAGCAATCAGAATTAAAATAATTCTGATATTCACTTGTATCTCTTGAACGACATTGCCAGAGCTGGTTTGTAACCGAGAGTAGTGCTTGGGAAACCCCTCGCCTCTCCTTTCAGTCCACAGAGGCTCCAAAGCTTCTTTCTATCTCAGCCCACACAATACTCAACCCAAACTTTGCCTTTGCTTCCTCTTCTCCCACCCTCTCCCTTGTCCCAGCTCTCTATTATGTAGAATAATTTAACCCCTTTACTCATTATTTAGATTCTTTACGAGAGAGCCTAGGAGCTGACCCAGAAAGCCAGAAGACATTCTACTTAGAATCCTGAGGGGTGGAGGTGAAGGTGGGGCTGGAGGGAGAAAGACGGTGAAAAGTCAGACATTAGCCATTTCTTACAACAGTTACAGATGAGAAATTTTAGTCCTTGTTAGGGCACCATTTTATTTGTATATATTTATATTGTTATTTATATTATATATATATAGTATCGAAATGCTTGGCTTACTTGTACATCAGTGTACCGTTCGTGGTGCCTTTTTAAGGCATTAAATAATTATATAGTGTTTAACTTTGTGCCAGGTGCTGTTCTGGGTGCTTTATATATATTAACTGATTTAATTTCTACAACAGCCAATAGGTAGCTACTATTTTTCTCCCTATTTTACAAATGAAGAAACCAAGGTACACAGAAGTTAAGTAACTTATACGAGGTCTTATACCTTATAAGGTAACTTATAAGGGGTAAAATAAAATGAAATTGAACCCTGCAGTCTGGCTTCAGAATTTATCCTTTAAGACAATTGCCAAAACTACCTCTCATGAAATAATAAAGTTTACTGAAAGTTTTCAACACTTACTTTAAAAAATAACTTGGGGGTTGATAGACAATAAGATACTGTCTACATTTTCTCCCTGCTCTGAGTCTTTTTCTTGCTCTGAATGGTCGGTATTGTAGTTGGACTACACTACCAGGTATTGTGTTGACCAGGTCTGGAACCTTTCTGGTGTGTGAAAAATCTTTGAGGTAACAGGATTTGGAAGACATTAATTTTCTTTTCTACTTTCTCAGAAAGAATTATCACTTCCCTTACAATGGGTAGGCAGTTGCTGTTTCTGACACAGAATAGGAATGCCTTGAATTTACAAAACACGAAGCTGCAAACAAGAAAACCCACAAGTGGAAGAACGAGATTGGGCAAGGGAGTATGGGAGCGATAAATAGTCTGTCTCTTGTCTGTGCATGAGGTGCATGCAGCCTGTGGGCTTCCTTGCCATTGCTTGTGTGCCTTTTTTTTTTTGTTTTGGTCTATCACTTCCCATTAGTCAAGATCAGGATCAGCTGTCCCTGAGACTGTGAAGGTACATACTTCTTTAGCCCTTTACTCTTCTTCTGCTACTCACTGCGCTTGCCACTTACTGGATTCACTTAAGGAGTGACCAAGGATGGCAAATATTTGGAGCCTGTTCTGCTTCAATTCCTGCCTCCTGAGCCCAAGGAAGATATCACTAATTGAATATGAAGTATTTTTGAACCTGTATTTTGCTTCGGAATCCTTCTCAACCGTGCCCTTACGGTGTCCTGGTTAAAGTGCAGGCTCTAAAGTGGTACAGAGCACTCTTCAAAACCCACTAGCTTCACTGTGTGTTCACTGATTGACTTTGGGCAAATTATTTCTCTCTCTCTGCCTGAGTGTTGTCCTCTGTAAAATGGCTGTATCTCATAGGGTTGTTGTGAGGATTAAGTGAGATGACGCATATAAAGTGCTGAGTATAGTGCCTGGCAGATACCTATAGTGGCTACCAAGTGACATCACAGAAAATTGCAGAGTCAGGAGTGCCAAGAATTGGTCCCTCCACTGAAGCAGCCATTAAACTGGCAAAATCTGTCAGGGTCAACTTGTTCTGAACTCTAGACTCTAATAAAAAAAAAACCTTGTAGTTGTTAGGGGAATGCTTAATGAGGAAAGAGGCTGCTAAATTTTGACATACATGAAAATCTGTCAGGTCACTGGCTGACCACTGAGAGAACAGAAGAGAGACTTAGTGACCACATTCAACGAGGAATGCAGTCGTTGCAAAACTAGTTTAGAAAAGTTACTAGACAAATGGATGATTGCAGCCCTCAACAAGCAACAACAGCGTACCCTGATGAGAAGGGAGAATATGATTTCCAGAGTCACCATTATAATATTGAAAATGTTAAGTTTTCAACAAAAATTAGACATACAAAATAGGAAAGTATGGCCTATTCACAGGGAGAAAGAAGAAATTGACAGAAACTGTCCCTGAGGAAGGCCAGCTGGAAGTTGGCATCCAGTCACTGAATGTTGGCATACTGGAATTTAGCATAACTATTAAAAGAAAACGCAGTTGCTTATTATGGGAAATACCGTACTTACTTTTGGTTTTATATTGTATTATGAGTATTATAAACATTTTGCCCATTTCTCTTAGTGGAAGTTACCATTGGGGAAAAATGACCAGTTTGCACCCGAGAAAAATTAAAATTGAGAAAATTTTGCTTTTATATCTGGCCTTAAAAATATACACACTCTCACCATCCCATTGATTTTTAAAAAAAATTTTTATTGGAGTATAGTTGATTTACAATGTTATGTTAGTTTCAGGTGTACGGCAAAGTGAATCAGTTTTACATATACATCTATCCACTCTTTTTTAGATTCTTTTCCCGTATAGGCCATTACAGAGTATTGAGTAGTGTTCCCTGTGCTATACAGTAGGTCCTTATTAGTTTCCTATTTTATATCCATTGATTTTTAAATGCTCACGTAAATGAATAAAATTAGATGACATTTTCTGTATTTTCAGTTAATCACTCATTAAAGACATATTTGAATTTAACACATTCATTATTCTTGCTTGAAGCATAGCATATTTGGTATGACAGAAAATAATGCCTTTATACCATAATCTTTACCTATCCTTGGCTACTCAGACATGGTACATTCTTATTTTCTTTCCCTTCAAATACTACTGGTGTTGCATCTAAACAAAAGTTTAGACTGACTGCGGAATTGGCTGTCGACATGTTAAATTAAGAGCCAGAATTCCAAGTTACACCCAGACCAGGTTACAAAAAGCCTAATTTGTGTCCTGAGAGATCCAGTTGAACAGCAGTGAGCGGACTGGCTACCCTCCAGTAAGTGACCCTCAGGTCTCCGTCTGGATCTGAAGCAGTGGCAGTAGAGTTGTACCTCTGAGAACGCAGAGTCTTCATTCACACAGGTCAGAGCCCTGTCTTGGGACTGAACATAGAAGGATGCAGTGGAGGCAGAAGCAATTGTTCCCCCAGCTTCCTTCTAGAAGAGGAGTTTGCTGGTGAGAAAGACGAGCAGGATCTGAATGGCATCTCTCATGGGGCTGAGGAAGGCTCTTTTGGCCGAGCTTTTGGCTGTGGTTCGGGTTGTGGTTAACTTGTGGGTTGTGGTTATTTTGTGGATTGTGGTTAGTTCCTGGGTCGGGGTTGTGGTTAGTTTGTGGGTCGGGGTTGTGGTTAGTTTGTGGGTCGTGGTTGTGGTTAGTTTGTGGGTCGGGCTTGTTAGTTTGTGGGTTGGGGTTGTGGCTAGTTTGTGGGTCGGGGTTGTGGTTAGTTTGTGGGTTGGGGTTGTGGCTAGTTTGTGGGTCGGGGTTGTGGTTAGTTTGTGGGTCGGGGTTGTGGTTAGTTTGTGGGTCAGGGTTGTGGCTAGTTTGTGGGTTGGGGTTGTGGTTAGTTTGTGGGTTGGGGTTGTGGTTAGTTTGTGGGTTGGGCTTGTGGTTAGTTTGTGGGTCGGGGTTGTGGTTAGTTTGTGGGTCGGGCTTGTGTTTAGTTTGTGGGTCGGGCTTGTGGTTAGTTTGTGGGTCGGGGTTGTGGTTAGCTTGTGGGTCGGGCTTGTGTTTAGTTTGTGGGTCGGGCTTGTGGTTACTTTGTGGGTCGGGGTTGTGGTTAGCTTGTGGGTCGGGATTGGGGTTGTGGCTGTGGTTGGCTTGATTGTGGAGATCTTGGTGGTCAAGTCTGAGGTTGTCCCTGGGAAAAAAAATGGCATCAGGACCTCTTTTGGGTGGCGAGTGGGCACTAGAGAAACGAGGCTAATGTGATGGAATGCTGGAGCCAGAGTTCATGGGCAGAATTCAGTGAACACTTCGCAAGGGCCAAGTGTATTTAGAGGAGGGGAAACTAGGGGTACAGAATGTTAAGGAACAGAAAATAAGAAACACTCTGACCTTAAGACCTATGGAAGAAGGAATTTATACCGAACTTACATAACTATTGAATTTGCTGTTGGGAAGGTAGTCTGCCTTCAAATGTCCTCATGTCCTTAATATTATATTCCATCAATCAGTGCAAATATGATCCAGAGTGGTACAATTTTATTTTATTTATTTTTGCTAATTTCAAAGTTTCCATGTAAAGGTTATAAGAACTAGACACCATCCAGACTTGAGGATGGCTGACTCGGCTTTAAAGGAAGTGGAAGGAGGCCCTGTCCAAATGCTTGAACCCCTTTTTGTGGTGTCTGAGGCATTGGTCATTTTCACAGGCATTGATCTGACCACACGTTGGTTCTCTGAGGTTGCTTTGCAGAGAAACAGAGAAAGCCAGGCCTACATCCCTGGGGGGTTGTCTGATCCTGAAAAACTAGAGCTTGGCAATGATACTTCCAAGGGTCTGAGTGAACCACAGAGGGGACTATAAGGACGAAGAAGGGAAATGCAAAGCAATTTGCGCAGACCTGTACATTCTGCCCACTTGCAGGGTGCCTTCCAGCTCTGTGGCATTGTCTTATCTCATTTAGCATTTCCTCAGGGCAAATGTTTCTCTAGCACACCACTGAGCCCAAAGTCTGAACAGAACTGCTTTCTTCTCCTTTTTTAAAGTCTGGATTTTATTAGCATGGAGCTAAGGAGTCCTGACTAGAGACAAACTTTTTTTTTTTTTTTTTCCTTTCCTAGCATCTATACGAGTGTTCATTTCAAAAATGTCCTGGAGAAAGAAAACATCCCAAACTTTTCACAGAGGGGAAACCACCAAGGAAACAGTTAAGGCTTTCATATAATAGTTTCATTAGGCATAATAACTTTAATATTTGTTGTTGAAGATAGATATGCCTTTGATCACATTTGCAATGCTTGACTGACAGGAAAATGGGCAGCGTACTAGATGCATTTCAGTGTTTGGGGGCTCACGAGGAAGACCTGTTATCTAGACACTGAGAAGGACTAATGTTACTTGTTCTTGGTTGAAGCTTGTATTTAAAAACTTCTTTAAAAAAAAAAGATTGTCTTTATAGTTTTAAAGTAAGTTTAAGAAAAGTCGAGAAAAGTATAAGATGTGGAATTTGAGTCCTCGTTTTGCCATTTACTTTCTGTGTGGCCTTGGGCAAATTACCTATCTTTTCTGAACCTCAGTTTCTTGAATTTGTTTTTGCTTGCAAGAGAGAGATAAGAGAGAAGGAAGGGTGCAGAGAAGGGAGAAGGGCAGGGAGCCTCAGAATGGTTTGAAGTTGAGGACTACAGCCTGGGAAAGGCCAGTGGAAATTCCTGGTGGTTGTGCTGGAGGTCAGAGGCCACTCTGAGAACTAATGAAATTATTGGTTTTCTATGCTATCAACCCTGCTTTGTGCAAATCTCCCTTCTCATCCCTTAAACGCTTCGGTAAAGTCTGCTCTACCAATGAAGGCTCTGTGTGAGGTGGTATTCTTGTGAAAATTGAGGAAGGAACCAACTTCCATATCCATGTCTGTGTGGTGTTGAATGGAAACAGCTCCTAAGGAAGCCGGTGTCTGGAGCCACAAGTGACCATGAGAATTGAAGGCCCCTTGGAATTGGCTTTTGTTTTCCACAGGGCACAGGATAAGGGGTTGAGCTAATCTTGTGTAGACCTCAGGGTGCTGGGAGACTTAACTGGTACCTGGGTAACGCATGATTAGAAGACTTTTTTCTAGGGCACCCACAAGATAATTTTCCGGGCCAATGGATTTCACTGCCAGATATGTAAATAGACTGCAGAGGAACTTACCATTTCTTTTCAGTATCTTAAAAGAAACTCTAGCCATGTTGTGGAAATCGACTGTGAAGACTCTGTGGAGGGAAAATTGATGAGAGATAATGGTGGGGAATTGACAAGTTCAGCTCACATTACTGCCTTCCCAGGGGACCCCAACTTCTTAGTTCCTTTTGTGCTTAAATTCTTTACAGCACAAGTAGCAGATCATTCAGTACTGGTCTGCTGTATACTGTCTTGACCAAGATCTTCCACAGTTTTGCTCCAGACAAGATCATGTCCATCCCTCTCCCCCACCAACACCAGCACCCTGGATTCCCCACAGGCTGGTATACACGGCTGGTCTTTGTTCAGGCTAGTCTTTCTGCTTGTAATACCAGTCCCGGGCACATCTGCCCACAGACTCGACAGTAGCCTCTATGAAATTGTTTCTCCTGGTTGTCATGGACCCAGACAGAGCTCCATCAGAGAGACATGCCCCTCTACTGCACTGCCTTGCTGTGAGCCTCTCCCCCGACTGGAGGGCCAGCTCTTCGAGGGCAAGTTCTTTTGTGAACAACGCCTGACATGTAGCGTCCTAGGTGCTTAATGTTCATTAAATGACCTGTACAGCTTGGTCTGTTGTTCTGATATCATTGGGCCCGTTATTATATCAGTCTGTTGTTCATGCATTGAACAATTAATGAGAGGGCAGTACATGCCAGTCACTGTGCTTACTGCTGAGGGAACAGTGGTGAACACCGCAGGCGTGGCTCTTACCCTGGAGACTTTAGCCGAATAGTCAACTGGCAGGAAGTGACGGCAGCGAAGCAGTGGCAGTGACGAGAGTGAGCAAACAGGGAGCGGAACTTGATCTGGGGGTTCAGGGAGTGCTTTCTGAGGAAGTGCTGTGTGACCTCAGTAATTATTTCTGTATAGGCCCTGCCTCCCAACCCTCATTGTGAAGTGCGGTGGGCAGGAACCTCTTCCTGTTGCCTTTTGTGCGTTGCTCAGCGTAGTGGGCTTCCCCCATTGTACGTGCTGCTCCTCTCCCCTCGTCAGCCTCGCTGATCAAGGCTGCGTGTGTACATCGTAAACAAGCAGAGAGGCCAGTGCATCACAGCAGGTGCGAGTGAGGAGGGGTCTGGAGACCGCACTGTTGGTGAGAATGTGCTGTTTCCATTGAAGATTGTCACCACCATTTGGTGTTTTATCTGTTGCTGCATGGAGTGTGGAGGCCTTAAGGAGGTGAGATGAAAGGAAAACCATTGCCCTCATTAGCCCTGGCCAGCTTCTAAGGGGCTGCTGTCATCGTGAGGCTGGGTTGTAGCACCTCCCTTTGGATTTTAGTCTTGCAGGTCGCTCTGTGGTCATAATAGCACCTCCTCCAGAGCCAGCTAGGTCCGACCAGGCCTGGGCATGGCTGGAGAGGCTGGAGTGACTTGGCAGCGTCACCATCACCGCTGTCTACAGAGACTTAGTGGCAGTTCATAGTGGACATGGCCTGATGGTCAGACCTGCCCTTTCAGTACAAAATGGCAGTCTGAAAGCGTAAGGACCTCTCAACATTTGGTTCTTAAAGTGAACTTGAAAATAAATCCCTAGCTGGGAGGGAAGTTTTTTGTTAGAGTCCCCAGGTGGCCTCACCTCAGAATCTGAGTGTGTCCATTTTGTGCAACAGGAGGAAGCCGGTTTTATTGTACAATCATCACACTTTCTGCCAGCAAGCCATTTCCAAAATGAATCTATGTTTTAAAAAATGATTCTCTGTGTCATGGTGAAACCGAGTCTCCCTAAAACTGAGATCCCCTGCTGAGTTTATGATTAACCACTCTCAAAAACTTTATTCTCTTTCTTGTCCCACTCCCCACCCCCATTCCCCTTAGGATTGAAGAGTATCAAAGAAACGGGGGGACTGAAACCAAGCAGGACCCTGGGGGCCCGCCCTAGTACAAAAGCCACTCCGTGTCCCCCCATTTCTTGTTTGTAGAAAAAGGCTTTAGTCTCCTAGACCCTCCTCGAGTTCCAAAGAGCAGACTTAAGCAGTTACTAGTTAGGGAAGTGAGGGAATGCAGAAACAAAGGAAAGCAGTCAAGAAATAATACTTCAGTGATAAAACAGAGTCCTAGTTCTCCTCAAGGGATACATATAACAATCTGACACATATCTTTGAGTTGTTCTGCAGAAACTAAGACCCCTGCCCAAGTGGAGGATGGTGACTACATGGTGACCACAAGCACATAGACCCCAGACTGATTGGAATCAGAAGGTTGATGATTCAGATTCCTGAAGCATCACCCTGTTACCTCACCACCACCAACCAATCAGAAGAAAGTCATGCCCCCTGAAAACTTCACCCCAAATGTGGCCTTTAAAAGACCTTCCCTGAAAGCCATTGCGGAGGCCAGGTCTTCTGAGCATGAGCCACCTGTTCTCCTTGCTTGGTGCCTGCAATAAACGCTGCACTTTCCTTCACCACAACCCGGAGTCAGTAGATTGGCTCTGCTGTTCGGCAGGCGAGTGGACCCAAGTTCGGTTTGGTAACAATGGGGACTGAGTACCCCTCCTCCAGGCTCTTGGCTACTGGCAGCTTCTCTGCACCCCCAGTTTAGCAAGGCCTCCTGGAGGACTGCCCTGGGGGTTGGCAGAGAGGGGAATGCTCAGGTGGCCAGATGGTTTCAAGAGGAGTGTCTTTATTTTTAACTGTTTGCTGCTGCTGCCCCCAACCCTGCCTGGCTCTGGAGTACTGTCTGCCCCAGACTAATAGGAATGAATTGGGTGGGAGTAGGAGGGAATATAGAGAATTTGAAGCAAACTGGGTGCCAGTGACAAGGATTCTTTGCTTGACCAAACTTTAGTCAGGCTCTGGAACCTTCTCCTAGGCCCATCTGTGAACTTCCTTATAAAATCCAGTTTTAGCCAGAATCCTCATAAGTCAGTTTAGCAAGAACCTTCCACCCTTGATATCTGATCACCTTTATTATCTGATTGAATTCCTCATCCTCTACTATCCCCCAGGTGATATCGGATCAGCTTGGCCTCCCTTAAGCAAGAATCCTGTTAGGTCAGTTTAGCCAGAGACCCCTTACAGGTCTTGATGTTTCCTCTTAGTGATTTTCCATCCACTGAGCCCTCACCCTGTTCCTGGGCTGTAAATTCCCACTTGCCCATGTTGTATTCAGAGTTGAGACTTGTTCCATACAGAGGTCTCTTTTCTCTTATTGTGATAGTCCTGAATACAATCTGTTTTTGTTCATTCATTCATTCGTTTTGCTTTAACTACTATCCAGCTCTGGTTTTCTTTAACACCAATTCTTTCTGTTTATGTTGAGCATACCTGGTGTGTGTGTGTGTGTGTGTGTGTGTGTGTGTGTGTGTGTGTGTGATGTATAAACTTCTACAGATAAAGGTAGGACAAAGAACGGTGAGGCAGAAAAGGAGTACAGCTACTGAATTATCCACATCATATCTGGATTGCATTTTGAGTCCTCCAAAGTCAGTATAAAACTGTACAAACATAATATGAAATTGTAAAAGCCCAAAGCAAATCATATATGGATAGGTTCTTACTGTAGCTCGACTGTAGTTATGTTCATGGAACTAGGAGATACCCATTTTGCCTCGAAGAGCTTGCTGTATGGGCTCTTCATGTGGTACAAGACGCTGCTGCTGCAATACTTGTCAGCTTTTTGCCAGGAGCCAATGACTGAGTTGTGCTGGTCTGTTGCTCGCAGGACCACAGAGCTAATACTGTTATTCACAGGAACTGACACTAGGAGGAAATGAGAAGGAAACAATCAGCCATCTGTGCAGTAAGACAAGAGATGGGGGTCATGAAATCAAAATTAAGTGTGAAAAAAGAAAGTTACAAGTAGTATGTAAATATAGTGTGGTCCCATTTTTGTGAAATAAGTTGAAAAAAGTCTGGAAGGAAATACATCAAGATATTAACTATGAGGATTTCTTGGTTGTGGGGTTATAGATGGTTTTTATTTTCTTCCTAGTTCTTCTTTGTGTTTTCCAAGTTTTCTACAGGAAAAGGTGAACAAAAGAAGACCTGTACTCTGGCCCTGGTTTTGCTACGTATCAGGGACGAGGTCCTGGCTGACTTTTAACCTCTTGAGCCCTGTTCCTATCTGCCAGATGAGAGTTCTGCCCTTCTCTCAGGAGGAATGCAGTGTGGGGAGAGAAGGGGTGGATGCATGTGAAAGGGTCAAGCAGACCTCCTGGGAAGTGCTTCTGCCAGTAAGGAACTGTTACTGCCAAGTCAAAGCAAAGCCTATTTCCTGGTTCCAGAAATGCTGATGTTCTTGGTCTTTGTTGTTGAGAGTGAGGGAAGGGGGGGCCTCTGAGACCCAGAGGCCCTAATCCAGGTACCTAGTCCAAGTACCTGCCAAAGCCCCAATCCAAGTACCTCTAAGTAAGCACTTAAGGTTCCCTGACCCCCTCCACTCAGGTGAGTCTCACCTGTTGACCTAGCCCAGCGTGTGCCCACAGGGACCCCACTGACACTTGTTAATTCCACCTGTTATTTTCAGCCTTCTGATGTGTAACAGGGAGGGAATTTCAAGAGACTGTTTCAGTTTGTCCATTTCCTCCCTTAGAAGATCCCTTCTGAACAGATTTCTCAATGCTAGGGTCCTCTCAGCCACCCCGACTTCTTTTAAAGGCTTCTCCTTTACAAAATAAAGAAAATTGATCTTGTAGCACAATAGGATTAGACAGTCCTGGATCTGAATCCTAGCCCTAACATTTAAGACCAAGTCACTTCACCTCCGATCCTTGGTTTCTTTCCTGTTCATCATTCACTCCACAAATATTTACTGAATGCCCGCTTTGCACTAGGGTTGGTTCTAGGTCTGAGGATAATGACATTATCTCTCATTGTATGGAGATCATGATACCTTATCTTGAAAGGTTCCTGGGAGACTGAAGAGAAGAATGTAAAGACTTTAATACTGGTGGGTGTTGGATAAGTTGCCATTGTTATTCTTAGCACGAAACATTTCTCTGTTCTGTTTGTTTTTGCCAGTCGAGGTTGCTGAGCCAGATCCCCCTGCCCTGAGTTGCTCAGCGAGAACCTGACATTTGTCCTAGATGTGTGTGCATGGTGCTGAGGTGGATGGTGATGAGCGACGGTGTCATCCAGTCATCAAGCCTGTCAGCTCTCCCCTGGGCTTGCCTTTGTCCTTTCTTCTGTTTTCCACCTCACTCTCTGGCTTACATCTGCCTTTCATCCTTTCTAGTTATCTGTATTATCCAGATTCCTGGCCTCCACAGTCCCCTCCCTCAGGCTTCAGACTGATCAGACTTCCACACTCAACACTTTCATCAGGACACACACCTGTCCAAAACCTTCAAAGTGCTCTTCTAGAGCCTCTAAACGTTTCTGGTTTTATATTTCTGCTTCTGTTGCTTGCAGGACCCAGCGCATGGCTCTTATGATCCTCATAAGAAGTACATGACACGTAGTAGGCATTCAGTGAGCCTTAGTTCCTCTTCTCCTTTCTCTCTGCTCTACCCAGTGCCTCTGTAAATGCTGTGTTGTCCCTCTCATCCAGCACGTTCCCTTTCAAGGGGTCTTATGGATCATCTTTTGATTCTTCTTTCTTCTGTCTTCCTACTTTCACATGGCTCCTCTGCCACCCCCACCTCCAACCCCGCACCCCTTGCATCTTCACAAGATAGGTTTCTTTTTCTTCCATTTCAACAGCAAAATCCTTCACCTCGTGATGTGTTACCTTAAGTCAGAGGTCTGAGACCTGACCATCCAGGTCCTGCTCTGCATACAAGGTCACACACATGCCCTCCTGGTCCTCATCTTGAAGCACAAGATTACCCTCCCTGCCCTGTTTAGGACAAGATCTGCTGCCTGAGGGAGTGGGACGTAGGGAGACCCACCACAGCTGAGGCACTTAGTGACAGTCCCCAAGAAAAAATAGAAAAAAGGACTAGCCAGGATGAGTGTGTGAAGGCAGGCCATAGTCATTCTCCTGCTGAAGCCTGGAATCTCCGTAGAGCATGGGTATAGCTATCACCCTGGCGCTCTCTGCAAAATTCGGTCAGAGTTTTCAGAGAGGCAGGATAACATGGTAGATGAGTCAGGCTCTGAAGCTGGATGGCCCGGCTAGACAAAGCAGGACAAATCTTGGCTATTATTTAGGTTCAAATGTTGGCTGTGCAACCTACTAGTGACCTTGGGTAAAACTTTAACTTTCCTGGGCTTCAGTTCTCATCTGTAAAATGGCGAAGATAATAGCATTTACCCTTAGAACAGTACTCAGCACACAGTATGACGTCTTAGCTCTCGTTACCTTAACTGAGAGGCGTATAGTCTAGTGGTTAAGAGCAGGGTCTCTGAAGTTAGAATGCTCGGGTTCACGTCCCAGGTCCATCATTTAAGCAGCTCTGTGACCTGAGCGAGTCACTAGCGTCTCTACCTCTGTTTTCTCATTGACACACAGGAAATGACAACAGTATCTACCTAGTAGGTCATTGTGAGGACTAAATACATTAGTACATGTAAACAGCCATATTAAATTTGTTGTTATTATGAAAGTTATTCGAGAGCACTTGCCTTGACTTGTAGGTTTGACTGATCCCAAAAGGGATGTCTGTAAAATATTTCTAGGCGCCTCAAAGAAAAGCACTGGATTAGGAATGAAAAGACCAAGATTCAAGAGGCAGTTCTGCCACTTATTAGCTGTGAGACCCTGAGCAAGTCATTTAACTTCTCTCAGCTTCAGGCTTCTCATTTATCAGGTGGGATAGTAATACTTTCCCTGTCTAGCTCACTAGATTTTCCACCCACAGACTAAAAGTGAACAGTGTCTCCTGGAGTTGTGCCACATACAATCATCCATGGTGGCATTGTTTCATCAAGTGGATAGGAAAAGACTACAAACTGTGATGCAATTTTTATTCCTTAAAATAATAAAAATGCCCCCCCCCAATACAGACTGTTTTAAGTTAAAAAAAAAAAAAAAAAAAAAGCCCAGATTATTTAAGTGAGAGAACTTGCCGCAGTTGTGCTCTTGCTGGGACTCGGTTAACCTGAGTGTTGGGATGTAATGACTCCCATGGCTCAGGTTCACACAGGGGACATGCAGAAATAGGAAATAGTCCCACCCAACCCATCCTCTCACATGTTCTCATTCTCCCTCTTTCTGCCTCTGTGTCCCAGACGGGTCAAAAACACACGTTTTGTTTGTGTCATTGAGAGCAGGGATGGAGGGGTATGTTCTGCAATTCCAGTTTTATCTACCCTCAGAAAACAGAGGACAGCAGAGAGAATGGCTTCTACTTACCTGTGTAGACTGTATTGCTTTTATAGACATTTGGGTTGGCATGGATTCCTGAGTAAGTGGCGGCAATGACCTTACTGAAGAGCATGCAGTTGTCATTGTGACTTATGCAGCTGGCAGGAGAACACAGCAGTCCAAGGCACAGAAACAGCGCCAGTGACAGCAGCAGGGACCCGAGGATTGCCATGGTCTTGATCCGTTTGGAAACTACTGGGCCTGAAACTGGGTAAGAGCTTCAACTCACCTGTTTATATGCTCTGGGGCTGGAACTTCTGGGTGAGGTCATACATGCAAATCTCCTGCCCACTCCTCCCTAAGATGAACTGGCTTCTGGAATTTGGCCCAAGATATCACCAGGAATGAATCTCCTTGTATCTGTCACCATGACCCTTTGCCAATTCCAGTTTTGCTCATGAAGGGGAATGTACTGATCGTGGTTTTATTTTGCCTCTCATTCACCTCAGCATCTGACATTTGAAGGAAGCTGTGAGAAGGGGTTAATACTGGCAAAGTGAAATTCAGAGTTGAGTAATCATGACATACCTGTCCTGCTTAGGAACTACACTCTTCTCCCTACAGGAAACTCAGGCATTAAAGCACTTTTCTTCATGGAATATTACGTATCCTTTCCAAGTCTCCTTAATCGAACATGTCTCCTGTCCCAGTTCATTTTGCGACTATCATAGAACTAGAAAGACTGTGCTTCTGTATTTATATTTGTTTCTTTGGAAAGAAACAGCTTTGGTTCACCTTGCTCCTGCCTGACACTTTCCTCTATACTACTGTAGCACAAGGAAACTACTGAAAAAAAATCAGAAAATATGTTTTTTTCATACTTCTTCTCTGATTTTAATTCACTCACTGAAGGAGAAAAGAGGAGAGATGTATTCTGTGTGAGTGGAAAGAAAACAAAAAATGTAGAATTGAATCAAAGAGATATTTATAAATGTTTTTTCAGGAGAAGCACTTACAGAATGCTGGAGTGAGGACCTCTGAAAAACCTACTCCTCCAGAAAAGCAATGAGCAAAAACAGTCTAAATCAACTTTTTCAGAACTCTAGAAATTAAGCAAAGACTTGCAACAATTCAAGGAGCATTTGTTTAAGAAAAATGGCTGAATCTCATTAAACATTGTGAGCATCGAGGCATTTTAACTTGCCCTGTTCCCATCCCTCTTACCCTACCTCTTCAAGTAGCCTTAGAAACCAGCAGCCTTGCAACTGTGATAGCCATGAAGACCAGCAAACTAGCAGCCAATAGGGAGGGGACAGAATGGGCTTGGAGTGCTCCAAAAAGCTTCATTTCCAGAGAACTGTCCCTATATGACCTGTCTGCAAATTGCCATTAAAGCTGAATTCTGAGGGCTTTCAGAACTTTCTCTGCAAACAGCCTTATTGCTAGGGTATTTGTTGAAAATAATCAGTGGGAAGTTTTTAACATTGCAGCTGTCTGAAGCAGTGGTTGCAACTGGGACTAACAAGGAGCTGAGCACAAAATTTAAAAGAAAAAACTGGGACTGAGATGTTGGTTGGGGGCCTTGGAAAGCTCTGACAAATTCCTGGGAATCTAAAAGGTCATCTGCATGTACAGAGCTATGCACATGCCCAGAAAAGATCTGAGAAAGCCCTAATCTCTTATCTCTGGTTGACCTTGAGGGTCTATACAAGTAAGAAATGTAGGCAAAGCCTGAGTTGTAAACTGCCTATTTGACCAGTGAAGGCATGCACACAGAGAGGAAGTTGGCAAAGATTGAGAGACTTATTGGTTCAAGACATTTAGGAAATCTCTGTCTATTCATTAGCTGACCACTAAGCTAACTAAGCAGAGACTTCAGTGGCCACACATAATAAAGAATACTGACTTTGCAGAATGAATTAATTCAGAAAAGTTGCTAAATAAACAGCAGCAGCAGCAGCAACAACAAATAATAATGAATGCGAACTACAACAAACCCTGGGAAGGAGGGGAATCTGGTGTGCAGAATGGTCAATGGTCACATTATATTTTTTAAATGTTCAGTTTTCAACAGAAAATTATAAGACATACAAAGGAACAAGAAAGTGTTTTCTGTATACAGAAAAAAACTCCCAGCCAATAGAAACTGTCCCTGAGGAAGTCCAAATGTTGGACTTACTAGACAAAAACATTAACGCAGTCATTATAAATATGTTCAAAGAACTAACAAAAGCCATGTTTAAAGAATAAAAGAAAAGTTTAAGAATGATGTCTCAACAAAAAAGAATGTTAATAAAGATATAGAAATGGTAAAAAGGACCGTACAGAAAATTTGTTGTTGAAATGTATAACTGAAATGAAAAATTCACTAGAAAGACTTAAGAACAGATTTGAACTGGCAGAAGAAAGTATCGATAAACTTGAAGATATTCAGTGAAGGTACTGAATAAATTTAACAAACGAAGCGCAGGACTTGTATACTGAAAACTATAACAAAGAACTCATAATAGCCAAAATGATCTTGAAACAACAACAAAGTTGGAGGACTCACATTTACCAGTTTCAAAACTGCAAAGGTACTGTAATCAAGACAGTGTGGAAAGATGGTGGAGTAGAAGGACCATAAGCGCACCTCCTCTCGTGGGCATACCAAAAGTACAGCTATTTACAGAGCAGCTGTTGATGAGAGACACTGGAGTCTACCAGAAAAGATCTTCTATAACTAAAGATATAAAGAAGGAACCACAAGGAGACAAGTAGGAGGTCAGGAGTTACCAAGACCCATACCCCTGAGAAAAAAATGACAATTGCAGAGGTTCTTTACAAGGAGTGAGAAAGCTGAGCCCCACATCAAGCTCACCATCCTGGAGGTCTTGCACTGGAAAAACAACCCCCCAGAATGTTTGGCTTTGAAGGCCAGCAGAGACCCACAGGGTTGGGGGAAATAGAGACTCTTCTCTTAAAGGGTGCACACAAAATTTCATAAGCTCCAGGACCCAGGGCAGAAGCAGTAATTTGAAAGGGACCTGGGTCAGACCCACCTGCTGATCTTGAAGAGTCTCCTGGAGAAGCAAGAGGCAATTGGGGCTCACCCTGGGGACATAGACACTGGCGGCAGCCATTTCTGGGAGCTCATTCTACCACAAGGACACTGGTGCTGGCAAGTGCCATTTTGGGATCCTCCCTCTAGCTAATTAATGCCAGGACCTTGCCCTACCCACCAGGCTTTTGGCACCAATACTGGGACACCTCAGGCCAAGCAACTACCTGTGGGGGCCACAGTCCCACCTACCGGCAGGCAGGCTACCTTAATACCCCCAGAGTCCACAGCCAGCCTGGTCAAGGCCCTGTCCACTAGAAGGCCCAGGACCTGGCCCCACACACTAGTGCACACGCACTAGACCTGGAACGCCCAGGGCCCTGCAGCCAGAGGTCCCAGGGCCCAAGACAGGATCCAAATCAATAAAATCAGAAACGAAAAAGGAGAAGTTACAACCAACATCACAGAAATATAAAGGAGCTTAAAGAGACTACTACAGATAACTATATATTAATAAAAATGGACTACCTAGAAGAAATGGACAAATTCCTAGAAATGTACAATCTCCCAAGCCTGAACCAAGATGAAATAAAAAATATGAACAGACCACTTACAGATAGTGATATTGAATCAGTAATAAAGAAAAACTCCCAACAAACAAAAGTCCAGGACCAGATTCCTTCACAGGTGAATATTACCAAACATTTAGAGAAGACTTAGTGCTTATCCTTCTTAAACTATTCCAAAAAATTGCAGAGGAACTTCACTGAACTCATTCTACAAGGCCAGCATCACCCTGATACTGAAACCTGACAAAGATATCACCAAAAAGGAAAATAATAGGCAAGTATCGTGGATGAACATAGATGCAAAAATCCTCAACAAAATATTAGGAAATCAAATCCAACAATACATTAAAAGGATCATACACCATGGCCAAGTGGGATTTATCCCAGGGATGCAAGGATGGTTCAATATCTGCAAATCAGTCAACGTAATACACCATATTAAAAAGCTGAAGAATAAAAATCATATAATCACCTCAATAGATACAGAAAAAGCTTTGACAAACTTCAACATCCCTTTACGATAAAATCTCTCCAGAAAGTGGGCATAGAGAGAACATATCTCAATATAATAAAGGCCATATATGACAAACCCACAGCTAACATCATGCTCAATGGTGAAAAGCTGAAAGCATTTCCTCTAAGATCAGGAACAAGTCAGAGATGCCCACTCTTGTCACTTTTATTCAACATAGTTGTGGAAGTCCTAGCCACAGCAATCAGAGAAGAAAAAGAAATAATCCAAATTGGAAAGGAAGAAGTAAAACTCACTGTTTGCTGATGACATCATACTATACATAGAAAACACTAAAGGCACCACCAAAAAACTGCTAGAGCTCATCAGTGAATTTGGTAAAGTTGCAGGATACAAAATTAATATACAGAAGTCTGTTACATTTCTATACACTAACAATGAACTATCAGAGAAAATTTAAGAAAGCAATCCCATTCACAATAGCATCAAAAAGAATAAAATACCTGCAAATAAAATAGCTAAGGAGGTAAAAGACCTGTACTCAGAAAACTATAAGATACTGATGAAAGAAACTGAAGACAACACAAACAGATGGAAAGATTTACCATGTTCAGGGACTGGAAGAATGAATATTGTTAGAATGACCATACTACTTAAGGCAATTTACAGACTCAGTGGCATCCCTATTAAAATACCACTGACATTTATCAAAGAACAAGAAAAAATAATTCTAAAATTTGTATGGAAACACAAAAGACCCCAGATAGTCAAAATAATCTCAAAGAAAATCAGAGCTGGCAGCACCATGCTCCCAGCCTTCAGACTGCAGTACAATGCTACAGTAAGCAAAACAGAATGATACTAGCCCAAAATCAGACACATGGATCAATGGAACAGAATAGAGAGAGCCAAGAAGTAAACACCGACACTTTTGGTCAATTAATCTGACAAAGTAGGCAAGAATATACGATAGGAAAAGACAGTCTCTTCAATAAATGGTGCTGGGAAAACTGAACAGCTACATGTAAAAGAATGAAACTAGAATATTTTCTCACTCTATATACAAAAGTAAACTCAAAATGGATTAAAGACCTCAATGTAAACCTGGAAACCATAAAACTAGAAGAAATCATAGGCAAACCCTCTTTGACATAAATTGTAGCAATATTTTTTGGATGTCTCTTAAGGACGAAGGAA